AAGAGGGACTCTGAGGTCCAGCCCTTGGGGCGTTGCCCCTACCAGAGCCCCAACCAGATCCTTCTGAACTTTGAGGTCTGGCGCTCCGTTCCTCTCAGATCGCCAAGAGCGCCAAGTCTTCCCATTCCTTCCCCGCTTTCTCATACATGTTCCTAGGTATTGTACCTATGTTTCATAGTTGTTTCCAACACCCCAAGGTACGTTTAAATGTCAAGAACTCGTCCATAACAGGAGATCAAACACCTTGAATTCATAATTCCAATTCAAGGAGAGTTAGTTAGAAGTCAAGTGAAGTTAGAGCCAAGCTTAGAAGTTAAGAAGTAAGTCAAGCAAGAGTCTTTAATGAACGTTTTAACTTCATTTTTAGGCTCAAGTTTCCAATCAAGCAAAGAGTATAGAGTTTCAGGTCTAGCAAAGAGTATCGAGTTTCAAGTTGAGTCAAGAGTATAAAGTTGAGTTCATTTCTCAAAAGTTATAAGGGAACTAAGTATTCCTTATGAGTTTATAAATGTTTTTACACATTTGAGCAAGAAAAGGGAACATCGATTCCAAAAGAGCCTTTGGGCTAAGCATTATGTAATTATCTCAAACTAAAGAAAGAGGTTGTTTTAAAAGAAAAGCTAAGGTTTGAAGTTCTTTTCTTCAAAGAAGTATATGGGGACTATGTATTCCCAAAGAAGTTTATAAATGTTTTCACATTTAAACAAGCTTTGGAGCTTGATATTTCCAAAGAGCCTTCGGGCTAGTTTTTCAGAAAAAGAGTTATCGCTTTCTAAATGAAGCAAAAGAGGAAACTGAGATTTCCAAGATAGCCTTTGAGCTAAATTTTTGAGTAATTATCTCAAATCAGCAGGAAGGAATATGTTTTAAAACATAAAAGTCAGTACATTTTTGGGAGTAGTATCGAGCACCGAGTTGGGGGAGCGTTCAAGGAACCCACAGCCCCCATAGAACCATGTTAGCCACCATGGGTAGAAAAGGAACATACTTTTTAGATGAATCCTTTTCCAGATAGACTAGTGGATCCATTAGGCAGTTCAAGTCTTATACCTTTGGTCGGGTATAGGATGCTCTGGCAGCGTGAGGTCAATCTTTGTATCATCATTATAGCTCTTATGTGATGATTGTCGGTTAGAGAAACTCCCACAGCAGTTATTCTATTTTTATATACATCAGTTCATTTGTATTTCTATATATATCTCAGGCTTAGTGTATCTTTGTATACACACAGAGTTTATACCAGGTTTTAAACAACTTTTCTTTATATTGCACTTGTTTTAAATTGCATTATATTGAAATGAGTCAGTCAGGATTGAGTTGAGTTGAGCCAGGCAAGTTATTCAGTTTCTTCCAGATTTCCTTCTAGCCTATGTTGCTTAGCTTTCTAGCTTGCATACTCGTACATTCAATGTACTGATGCCAGTTGTCCTGCATCTTATGACGATGCAAGCGCAGGTACCCAGGATCAACACCTAACACGTCGTTGATCCAATTGAGCATTTCAGAGTCAGTAGTGAGCCTCCTTGCATTCCTGAGGACTCTGTTATTTTGTGTTTCTAGTTTTGTTTTGTTAGGATGTTGCGGGGTCTGTCCCAACATCCATCTCAGTATTGTAGAGGCTTCATAGACAGTCAGTCAGTTAGTATTGAGTCTCTCATCTATGTATATGTACATATGTTATTTTAGGACTCGAGTTGCCTTTTTCGCCATATTTGTATCATTTAAGTTGTTTTATGTCCTTGCATTGCATGGAGTTATTCAGTTGAGTTAGGTTTCCGCTGAGTTCAGAAGCCAGACTAAGGGTTCGCTTGGGGCCAGCAATGGTTTTCAAGTGCCGACCACCTCCAGGGTGTAGGCTCGGGGTGTGACAGAGGATCCCGTATCCAGCAACCCAACCTATACAAAGGGCATCAAAGCCTATTAGCACAACTTGATTAAAAAGAGTTTGATCGGAGCCAAAAGGGTAAAAAAATTTGCCAAAAATTTCAAAAGAGCACATCATATTTTTTTTAAACCAAAAAGCCAAAATCTCTCCTGCCGGAGCAATTTCATTCTGACACATATTAACTACGTTAAAAATAAAAATTGCTGCCCTAGCAGCGATTTTGTCCAATATTTTTTTCTTTTCTTTTACTAAAATCGCTGGCACAACAGTGATTATTTAACTCTAATTTTGTTTTCCTCCAACTAATATCACTACCATGGCAACATTTTCATAGAAAAATAAAATAAATATTTTTTCATGAAAATCGCTGCTTTGGCATTTTTTTAAAGAAATTTTTTTTTGAAATCGCTGCCTTGGCAGCATTTCTCTTGAAAATAATTCTATTTTTTTCTGGAAAATCACTGCTCCTTAAAAAATAATTGAAAATCTTTTCTTATTTTTTGTATTTTTTTTTAAATTGCGTTTTTATGAAAAAACTTTAAGCAAAACTTTTAATTTTTTTTCTTTTCTGAAGAGAAACGCTGCCAAAGCAGCGATTTAAAAAAAAACTTTCAATAAAAATCTGCCAAAGCAGCTATTTTCATGATTTTTTTTTGTAAATTTTTTTTCTACGAAAATGCTGCCATAGCAGCGATATTAGTTGGAGGAAAAGAAATTGGAGTTAAATAATTGCTGCTATGCCAGCGATTTTAGTGGAAAAAATTTTGGACAAAATTGCTACCGTGGCAGCAATTTTTAGTTCTAACAGAGTAAACGGCGTCAGTATGTGTTAGAGGGAGATTGCTTCGCCAATAGCGATTTTGCCCTTTTGGTTTAAATAAAATATGATGTGCCCTTTTGGAATTTTTGGCAAATTATTTTGCCCTTTTGACTCCGGACTCTAATTAAAAGGCACAAATTTCAATAAGAAAGAAATAGTATAGTGAAGCAATGGTTGCTGCTTCTCCTAATGAGTCTCGTAACACAATTACATCTCATTAGGAAAAGACGATTAGATAGGATATAACACAATTATATCACATTGCTATATGACATTAGATAGGAGAGTATGGAGATCGATGATTAGAGTATATTGTTGAGTTCGGAGCCAAAAGGGTAAAAAAAATTGTCAAAAATTTCAAAAGGGCACATTAATTTTTTTTTAAATCAAAAGGGTAAAATCACTCCTGACGAAGCGATTTCCCTCTAACACAATGACTAAAAATCGCTGCCCTAACAACGATTTTGTCCAAAAACTTTTTTTCTTTTAATTTTTTTTATTGAAAATCGTTGGTTGGTCCAAAAACATCGCTGCAGGGGCAGCGTTTTTCATGCCTAGTACTATTATTTTCATGCCTATTCATGTCTATTGTTAATTATTAATAATATAAAAATGCTTATATGAGCCTATTGTTAATTATTAATAATATAAAAATGCCTATTCATGCCTATTGTTAACCAAAATCGCAGCGATTTTGAAGAAAAAAAGATTATTTTTTTTAAGGAGATCACTGCTAAGGCAGCGATTTTTATTTTTTTCTAACGGACAACGTCAATTTTTGTCAGAAGAAAATCACTCCTGACGGAGCGATTTTGCCTTTTTGGTTAATTTTTTTTTTGATGTGCCGTTTTAGCTTTTTGAAAGAAAAAAGTTGCCCTTTTAGCTTCGAACTCGTATATTGTTTGTATATTGTCAAACGTTGTATCTCTTGCTAGTGGTAGAGTAAGGTTCTAATCTAGACCCCCTATATATCCCCTTACCATTATTCCCTGTTAGTATTATGCTAGCATTTACTTTTTCTTTAATTTTATAACTATGGTTATTTCTTTTACTTTGATTATCTTTAATATTTTGACCGTCGATAGTTTTGTTTCTTAAATATAATTCTCATCATATCTTTTTACTGTTACAATACTTTCAAACCATGTTTTGAAGAACGATTTCTTGATTCGAGGATCTATCGTAAACATCCACTCTATCAGACAAAGATACAAATAAGGCCTGCATACATCCTATCCTTCTCAAATTCCACTTATATGAGATGATATCAGATATGTTATTGTAATTGTTGCATAATTAACCATCCTTTTCAATTTCAATAAATAAAAAAAACTCCTCTTTAATATCATTCTAATGAAAATTTCTTCGAAACAACATAAATAATAACAGTTCATCATGTTCAAGAATCCACTAATTTTTCTTTAAATTCTTATTAACTAATTTTTTGCAATGTTTATATCATGTCATTTAAAAGAAAAAGACAGATGACTCTAAGCATTGATTGATATATATAATGTACTAGAATAAGTGGTAGTAACTAGTACGTACATTATAAATAGGTGATCCTATTAGCACAACTTAAAGCCACAAATCTCGATAAGAAAAAAAGAGTAGAGTGAAGCAATGGCTACTACTTCTCCTAATAATAATTCTCGTCGCTTAGCTAATTTTCACTCAACTGTTTGGGGATATCATTTCCTTTCTTATACTCCTGTGAGTTAACACATACTATTTCTTTAAAATTTCCTTATTATATTGTTGCTAATTAATTTTGCATGTTATACCTTCTTTTTTTTTACTATTTTGTCTAAACTTAACGTACATAATATTTAATCGATTAATTAATATAGTATGCTGCAAGACATTTACTGATTTTGGATGTCCTGCAGGAAATAAGTACCCAAGAGAAACTTGAAGTTGATGAGTTAAAAGAAATATTCAGGAAAATGATGATGGAAACTTGTGATAATAGCACTCAAAAACTTGTGTTGATAGACACAATCCAACGATTGGGAGTAGCATATCATTTCCATAATGAAATCGAAACATCCATTCAAAATATTTTTGATTCTCAACTACAGAGTGAGAATAATGATGACAACCTTTACGTTGTTGCTCTTTGTTTTCGACTGCTAAGGCAACAAGGACATTACATCTCTTCTGGTAAATGTGCTCTATCTTTACATTTGTTAAGTCACAATAAAAATCAATTTCTAATTAGCTTGGTATATAATGTTATGGCATGTTGAACAACAATTTGAATTTAAGTTTTTATAACAATACAAATTAAATATTATGGCATGTTTAAAGTCGCATGTTTCAAAAGTTTTACTGCCACACAAATACTATCACATGTACACGTTTTTCAAATCTTCTTTTCTTTCTTAAATTCTGTGCTGAATCAAATTATTATATCACATAAATTGGAACGGAAAGAATACCAGAGTAAATAATTTTGGCAGCAAAAAACTCTTACGAAGGTTTATGTCTAGTTACGGCTTGTAACAAATTAAATTTCTTTATATCTGCTAACATCAAAAGACGATATTAATTAATCTGTAGATGTCTTCAAGAAATTCATAGATCATGATGGAAAATTCAAAGAAAACCTTACTGATGATGTTCAAGGATTATTGAGTCTACATGAAGTAGTACATCTGAGAGTACGCGGGGAGGAAATTCTTGAAGAAGCTCTTATCTTTACTATCACTCATCTCGAATCTATGCTCTCCAACTCGAACAATGACTCGATTAAGGTTCAAATTACTGAAACCTTAAGCCAACCTATTCACAAGACTGCAGCAAGGATGGGAGCTAGGAAATACATATCCACCTATGAAAACAATGATGCACACGACAATTTTCTTTTGAAATTTGCAAAATTGGATTTCAACATGCTACAAAAGATGCACCAAAGAGAGCTTAGTGAGCTTACAAGGTATAAAGATATCTATATAATTTGATCTATGTATGTACTTACTTCATATATGATACAATTATATATTATTTAAATCGTCGATCTTATGATATAGGTGGTGGAAAGATTTGGATTTTGCAAACAAATTGTCACATGTAAGAGACAGATTGGTTGAGTGTTACTTTTGGATACTAGGAATGTATTTTGAGCCTAAATATAATCGTGCTAGAACAATGATGACTAAAGTACTAAAGATGAGCTCTATTATTGATGATACATATGATGCTTATGGAACACTTGATGAACTTGCATCTTTCACCGATGCAATCCAAAGGTATAAAACACAAACTTTATAAGTAAATTAACTTTCTTATTTTACAATCCCTCATTAATGAATATGAAAAATTAAACATGTATTTATGTTGTTATTGTGAAATTAATGTACAAGACATAAATTAAATCGATTTGTTTGTAATTTTCAGATGGGATATCACTGCAATCGATTCAATCGAGCCATATCTAAGACCTGCTTATGAAGCTCTTCTAGACGTTTATAGTGAAATGGAACAAGTATTGGCCAAAGAATGTAAATCAGACCGTGTATACTATGCAAAACAAGAGGTAATATTATTGCTTAACCAACCACATAAATATGTCAGTTAAGTAATATGCGGAATTTTAGTAGTCCAATTGGATGGCTGTCTGAATTTTTCCACGTTGTAATGAATTCCCTTTAACCACTTCTCATTCCCCACCCCTATGTATAATTCAAGAAAATAAATGAATACTTTTGCGACTTAATTATTATCTAGCTAACAATACTTCTAATTAATTCTTTTTAGATGAAGAATTTGGTGAGTGCCTATTTTAAGGAAGCCCAATGGTTAGATGGTGGCTGTATTCCAAAATGTGAAGAGCACTTGGAGAATGCACTTGTAAGCTCTGGCTGTCTTATGGCAACCGCTTCTTCCTTGGTTGGTATGGAGGAATTTATACCCAAACAGACTTATGAATGGTTAATGAATGAGCCTTTGATTGTACGAGCATCCTCAATGATTTGTAGAGCAATGGACGATATTATTGGACATGAAGTAAGTATAACTTCTCAAGGGCAAATTAGACATTTAGCCGATTGAAAAAAATAATAAAAATACTCCCTTCGTTTCATTAAATTTGTCATGTTTTATTTTTTGAGATTTAAATTGTATTAATTTTTTATCAATATTTTGAGATATATTTTTTGACCATATTAATATGAGGAAAATGGTATCTTGAAGTACTTTTAATGTAGTTTTTTGAATATTTAAATTATAATTTTAAAATATTAAATTAATACAATTCACTCTTTAACTCTTTAAGATTACTCAAATTGACATTCAAAAAGTGAAATATGACATGTAATAGGGGATTGTATATGTATCAACAATATATATTATATATTAATATACAAAACACATGTATTTGTTAGCTACAATTTTCTTGAATGGCTATTTATCTCAATTTCTCCATCTTATAATCCATATACGTAGTAAATTCTTAATAGCACGAAAAACAAAATATATAGAACAGTTCGGATTTGCTTCAAATATACCTCCATAAGCATACAGATGGAATAAATTGTATATAGTGGATTTATATTAAATTGACTTAAGAATTAACTAAGAATCTTACAATATGATAAAAGGAAATGCTAAAACTATAGTAGTTTAGTTATACTGAAGATGTTGATATTTATTTTATGTAGGCTGAACAAGAAAGAGGACATGTAGCTTCAATTATTGAATGCTACATGAAAGAATATGGAGCTTCAAAGCAAGAGGCATACATGAAGTACCATAAAGAAGTCATCAATGGATGGAAGGATGTAAACAAAGAACTTCTCCGTCCTACTAAAGTGCCAATATTTGTCCTTGAACGAGTTTTAAATTTTGCACGTGTGATGGACATGTTATACAAAGAAGAAGATGCATATACAAACTCCAAAGGCAAACTAAAAAATATGATTAGCTTGTTACTAGTTGAATCTATCAAAATATGAAAATCATTATGAAATTACACCATCAAGGAATTGGAGCAAAATCAGCCATACAATAAATTGAAGATCTTTTATTTATATGTGATGCATATTATATTGTATTGTATTGTATTGTATTACATTATTTTATAATTATATACTTTAAATAAATTGTATCGTTTGTTTTGGTTTAATAGCACATTTGGTTGATTGTATCGTGCAATAATCATTAAATTGACTAAAGTATCCTTCATTATTATAAATATCAAACTTATCAACAATTACTATAAAAAATAATTGAAGACGATTTGTTCTTGGAAGGTTTGAATTTGATAGAATTGGGACAAGAATAATTTATGCATCCAATTAATTTAAAAGCTTCTTAATTTAATAATGTAAATTAATTAATTTGAAATAAATAATTTAAGTATATCAATTAAGTTATGAATTAACTGATTTAAATAAAGAAAAAAACACAACACTTTAACTTAAATTCATGCTTAAATATAGAAAACATATTCAGAATATTATAAAATATATATACCATATATATAAACACCTTATATTGTTTATTACAAAATGGCAAAATTGCTCTGAAAATATTTTTGACTTTTTGTAAAAAATAATTGCTTTAACTTATTTGAAATTGACAAAGTTTGAAGATTACTTAAATTATGAATCGGGCAAAAATTGAATGTCAACATGAATTGATTCTTTTCAAAGTAAATACATGAGTACCTCAATTAGTGTTACCATTTTAGATTTCACGTACCTTATGTAAGTTTACCATTCTAACTTTAGTATTCTCTTGAAGTCAAGTTTTCTATAAAATTTATTTTAATTAATTAATTAAACAGTGAACATGAATTATATTAATCATTTAGTTTTCCTATGTCGGTCAAATGTATACTTTCAAGACTAATAATTCTCAAGGATAAAATAGAAAAATCTCCGCTTTCAACCATGAAACAGTTCAACAAACGGGATGATAAAAATCATATTTGAATTAAAAAAATAAATTAATACTTTCAATAAAAACATTTTTGCTCTTTTCGTTCACAACTTATTCATTGAGTTAAAAAAAATCATTCAACTTTTCTTTTAATTTGAATATTTTCATAACGACATTGGAAATAACTCGCACCCATTAATATTTACCCCTTCAGACCCAACTCAATTTTCAAAAAAAAAAAAAAAAAAAAACTCAATCCCTTTTTTATTCCATCATTGTGAATGTGATCGGCTGCATTTTAGAATTCTATATTTTTGTTGAATCAATTGAAAACCTTTCGCCATCAGGCACTTCTAATTTAACCTTTATATCATTTTGCTTGTTGGCTACATTTACCCTTTGACGTTTCAAGATTAAGGTATCAAAACTGTTGTTCTCCTCTATTTAAATCAAGAATAAGTTAGAAATTTTGAAGAAAAAACAAACATTTTACGATAGAATTGAATAAAATTAAGCCGATGATGGAATAAATGAGTAGGGACTGAGTGTTTTTTAGTTGGGTGGGTTTGGACTTTGGAGTGTTAAAAATTAATGGGTGGAAATTTCTATTGCTAAAAGTAGAGTTGTTGAACCATCCGCATGAAAAATGCTAACTTCACCTCTAATCAACTTGCAAGTTTCTTGAAACCCCTGCAAAGTAGTGCAGATATGATCAGTGGATCCTGAGGCTACATACCATGAATTAGTAGAAACAACCTCTAAATATGTTTCAACAAAGAGTGAAAGTGAGTTACCTGGATTGTTTTTCTTCTTGGCTAAGAAAACTGGACAATGCGCCTTCTAATGGTTTGGCATCTTGCAATGAAAATACTTGCACTTAGGTTTTTTCATGCCCCCAGTTGGAGGTTAAATTGCCTTAGTTTTGTGAGCCTTTTTCTTCTTCTGTCCACCTTGCGATTTAGAAGTAAAACCTTTCTCAACATACAGTGTCATAGATGATGTCGATTTTTTGACAATTGTCTCTACCGCTTGCAGCTCATTCAACAATTGTGCCAAACATAAATTCATCTTATTCACATTATAATTTAGGTAAAACTGTTGAAAACTGTCAAGTAGAGACTACAATATCATCTCAGCTTGGGAGTCGTTGTCAATTTCATCCCTCAAGACCTCTAGGTCATTCATAAGACCTATCATCTTCAGAACATGGTCTCTAACAGGAGTGTCTTCAACCATGTTAGTGTTCATGAGAGATCTCATGGCAGTCTACTTATCTTATCGACCCTAGTCACCAAACCATTGTTTGAGAGTTTCCAAAATTTCAAAACTTGATGATGGATGATGTTGCAGCACATTTAACATTGAAGCCATAATGGAACACCGCGCCATCTCATCAGTTTTGCGTTATTTCTGATAAGCTACCTTATCCTCATCACTAGACTGTTCATCTTGTTTCAATAGACATTCCTCATAGAGTACAAGCTTATACTCTTCATCAATTAACACGAAGTCATGATTTCTCCTCCAATCAACATATAGTTAGGACCCTCAAGTTTGTTATGATCCAAAATAGTACTAAGGGGATTAAAAGGAGACACGTTGAATCTGAGAATAAAAATAATAGTTACAATAGATCAAATCAAACAAGCAGTCATATAAAAATTCAATAGTTATATTCAAACTCATCACAAACATATACATTCATGCATCTTGAAAAACCAATTTATGGGATTGGAGAACTATTCATACAATATACATATACAATGACCGATGATTCACTCCATAGATGTATACAGACCTAATTCAGATGGAGAGTCTACTATTAATTAATGTCTAGTAAAAATCAGAACTCTAGTTACATTGATCCAATCATATACTACTCAGTTTAGGAGAGTTAATACAAATTATCAAACGAGCGATCAAATACATAGTGACTTGTATTAAATTCATCTGATAGGGAGGAAGGTCTAAGCCAACACATAAACTTAATACTTCATTACTATTTAATCTTGGTAATTAAAAGGAAGAACTCTAATCACCAAGTAATATATTCTTTGTACCAACTTTTTTTAAAAAAAATTCAAAGACCTAGGGTTTTCACAAAGTATCATCACAAATATATATACCCTTACATGTAAAAAATATTTGAACATAACATTGTATAAACAAAATTATGAAAACGAGCTCCTATTTTGATTTCTTGTTTGAGAGTTTTTCTTTTTCAAATATAATTTTAAAAAATGAAAATACACGTATTATTTCATATCTGTTTGAAAAGAAGGGAGACTAAAGTGTATGTATCAAAACTTAGAAGATGCTTTTGTATGTCCCAAGTAGGTCACATGGGTGATGTCATAATTAATTTAATGGGTATACCACAAAGTTTTCAAGACTTGTGACTTAATGTCCAATTAAGTCTTGAGAGTGACTATTTTGCCAACTCTCCCGAGTAACACCTATCCACTTGTTCAATTATTAATAATTTAAATTTAATTTCCTTAAATATTAGTCTAACTATGATTAAAAACATGACTAACTCCTGCAAATCAACAAGAAAGATAAAAGCTTTACACTATATAGTGTAGACATGTAATTTTTAACCCCTCCCCTCCCCGTACATTTTTACAATACTTTAGCATTAAATATTTCTTGTATAGGCTTAGGTTGGACTTGGTTTTTCTCCAGTGAGATCCCCTCCATTACCCCTAGTGCACCTTTCAATGAGTGACACCTATCCACGTGTTTAATTTATAATCAAAATCTAATTTTCTTAAATATTAGCTAACTATAATTAAAAACACATCAACTACTGCAAATCAACAAGAAAGATAGATTCCAAAGAAAAACAATTGTTTGAATTGTGATCCTGTGAAATTGAACCAAATACTTACGTAATCTGGAGGTTAGAACCCCTCGAGAAATATGGAAATTTTCTTAAATGATGGTTGCCCTCACTTTTGTTAATATTCATATTTATTGCCGCTAAAAAATTATATTTATGGTAGGCTTAAGTTGGAATGATAAAACAGGAATAAGTTGAAGCAGATGTTGAGGGCAGATTGGACATTACCTTAGCTAGATATTTTGGTAGAAGTTGTTAGGGATATGGATGTATACGTGTAGTTAGTTAGAAAATATCAATTGTTAATTGTCAACTTTATAGAGTAGGATATATATTTTTCAGTGGTTGTACAAGCTAATTGATCCATTTTTCACAACATGTATAGAATTTAGTTTCCCTATGGGGCGTTATCAATGTTGTTTAAGACTTTATACATAGTTTTTTTTCTCTATGGCTATCAATGGTGTTTAAGAATTTTTTACATAGGTATTTTTCAATAATGTCTAAGAACACGTGATTTAATTTTGTCAACAAGAAATTTTAGGTGTCTTTAGGTGCTCAAATATAGCAACGTGCTGCATTTTTCTCTCTTCAATTTCTATCTAAGTCTATAAATGCATGCACTTACTCACTTGATTCCTCAAATGTAGCATCTTTACGTTAATTAAACCCATTAATTACCATTATTGTGTAAATTTTAGAATTGATGAAGAGTAAGTGATTTTTGGGAATGAAACATATCATTTGTATTCTATCTCTCTTGTATCACTTGTATTAAAAACTTTTGTATTAATATTCCTTCGCTCTTGTATCACTTGTATTTAAAAAATTTACATCACTTGTATTCATGTAACATTCTGAAAATTTCTAAGTTAAGGCCCGAACCATTTTTTATTTACACGTAAATTCATATCGGGTGAATTAAGTGGGGAAAACTTAGCCAATAACAAAAACACCTTCAAATTCTGGTTGTCACGTGTACAAGTCTCTTGTGATGAAAACAAAATTAAAAAATAAATATAAGTCTCAATGTTTTTGTTTCTCAAATAGAATAAAACAAAGCATAAAATAAGGAACAAGAGGGCCCACCGGAATGACAAACAACTACCACTCAAAATCTTTTGAAAGCCTCAGAGAAAGATGAAGAAGAATGATCACACAGGTTCGTGCTCAAAACCTACATATGTGTAGAAGCAAGCAATATGTCACTACCCGAGCCTACACCCTGGACGTGGCCGACA